TATATATATATATATATATATATATATATATATATATATATCTATTATATTTATTATTATTTATATAATTTAGTCATACAATATGCAATACAAACCTGTAAGTATTTTAAACCTATAAGAAATACTGATAACAAATTGTAATATTTTTTAAAATTAAACATTTATTGAAAAAAAACAATTAGAAATGAATAAAGAAATCAAAATTATTTTAATAATTTTTATATCTCTGTAAAATAAAATATGAGTTAAATAACAAAGGAACAAATAAGGTAAATTAGAACAAACGTTGCCGTTGTAACAAAAATTAACATCATTTTAATTCAAAATATTATTTAATTAATTCCAACGTGTTTCAGTCTTCTCTCTTCAACGACTAACGTTTTATATATAAATAATTTTGAAACAATACGTTATTGAGGCTGATTGGTTCAAAATTATTAGTACATGAAATGTTAATTACCGTAGAAAGTTTAGAATAAGACCGAAACATTCGATTTGTGTGTGTTATTAAGTAAGGTTGTGAATTGAAGTTATTATCGTTAATTTTTGCCATAACAGCAGTGTCTGTTGCTCTTATTTGTTTCGTCTGTTTCTTTGTTAGTTGATTTAACATCTCAAGAGCTTTAACATCTTTTAAAGAAATAGGCTATATAATTATAATATTACTATCTATATAAGCTATATAATTATAATATTACTATCTGTCACACTTACCGTGTCCATACGTATTTCTTTATGATGTCTTCAAAAACTTCAGGAGTGAAAATGTTGAGCAGCATACGAAATAAAATAAATCCTATAATAAAGATGCGTATGAAATTAATTTAGGATAATTGAGAATAATAACTACTTGATGTTTGAAGCATCCGCGATGAGGAGAAAAGCTCGATCTTGTCTCTGGATTGGTACTATTATCTTTCATGGATTTCTTTTCGACGTTTCATGAATATTCAATTAACTTTTTCAAAGAGAGAACAACTTAAAACTTTCAAGTCACACCTCTCTCCTATAAGAAGTAAACGAAAATTGGACGAAATGTCGAAAACAAATCTACGAAAGACGTGGTACTAACATAAAAACCAAGCCACATAACAGTGGTTATATTTACCGAGTCTTACCTTTCTTGTGATGCATGAGACAGTAAAATAGTGTATCTATTTCAGTCCTGTCCTTAGATTCACATTTAATAACCTTACGCTGCTCGAAATTGTCAGTTTCTATAGCTGGATGCATCATTTGGACCGTAAACAGTTCCATTAATCTATCGTTTTTCCGCATCTAGAAATAGCAAATTATATTCATCGATTTGCCTCCAAGGGAAAAATATTAAGGGAAAAGTTTCAAGTTAACAGAATAAATAACGCTATCTCGCTAAAACGGTATCTATAACGGCTATCTCAGTGAAAAACGTTTATAAACATTTAAGTATTATTCCAAAAAGAAGTGTATTTTGACTGCAAAAGCAAATAGCGTGCATATTATTAATTTTGGTAACATTAATTTTTGATCATAAGATACCTGGTCTACAGCATAGTAACTATAGAATGACGCCAGCAGTTCGTTTATCAGCCGTTCATTTTGTTTGTGCCGACCAACTAAATTAACGAATATTTGACGTGCCATTTCATATGTTATCAATTTCGCAATGTCAATTGTTCGACTTGGCAAATCTGTATCTTTATCATACGTAACATCTTCTTCCCTAAAATGGAGAAGAAGAAACTTTTTTTTATCAAAATTCTCCTTACCATTTATGTACACAATTCAAAACATATATATACATGCTGAGAATATATGTTTTGTAAACATTGCAAGTATTAACGCAATTAAACATTATAAAATGTTATTTAGGAAACATTATTTGGGAAGAAAAAGTTAAGAGAACGTTTTAAATTTCTTTTATTCTGGCTAAAATTTTGAGATTATATATATCTTCTGTGACCATATTCCAGTTATACCCTGATTTAGCAACGACATATTCTCATTACACGTTGTAACATATGTATACTGTATCTCACATATTAAAGAAATTGTTACAGCACTGAGATGGAAGTTTGTAAAAACTGGTAATTTGTTAATCCTTTCAAAAGTATTTTGCATTGTGCATTGCATTTTATTTTGTTTCAAGAAAAAACTTGTGAAACTTTTTCTGAGAGAAATACACGGAATGTATGTAGCTTGTCTGACAACACTGATAACACACCCGTTATGTGCAGGTAGAACTTATTGAACTGAACACAAAATTTCTTTACTATTTGGTAAACAACCATTATAACGCGCAATCATGCACCGATGTTCTTTAATTAATAACTAAAAACCTATCTATTTTAATTATTTGCAAATTGATAAAGAATTATTCAGTTTTTGTTATTTGATCTGAGGTACAAAGACACAATAGCAGACATCACCATTATGGCTTATCTCTCATATTGCGCATGATCTTTCATCAAATTTCTTTAATTAATATATAATTTAATTAATATAATAATTCAAAATTTTACGTGATTATTGATTTGCGAAATGGTAAAGGAATTTTGCGTTTAGTTTAAAAAGTTCAGTTTAATACAATGGGTATATTATGCATTGTCAGACTCCTTATATGTTTCATTTACTTGTTAGAAAAACATGTAAAAGTAAAATAAAGTTAATTAAAATAATAGTTAATTAATATATGTATTATACATTTCGCGCGTCACAAATAATAACATATGATAATAAACTTTATATGGTTTATTTTACAACCAAAGTAAGTTTTTATACGTATTAAAAAACTCGCAAATGCCTGTTATATTCTTTTAGTTTGTAAAATGCGAAGTGTTAAAATTAATTTAATTTTTTAATAGAGGCGTGCATATTTTTTCCCAGCATATCCAATTTTAGCGAACATATGCGTCTTATCGACCGTAACGGTATTATTGTATATTAACGATTTAAGTGAGAACAATTTAACAATGTATAGTTCGTACCTGTAAATAGCGAGTCCGAATCCTCCCATGGACTTTAAAGGACTATTCGGAAGTATGATATGGTCTATCTTCTGAAACTCACTCTCTATATGCATCTGAAATTTCTGTATAAGATACGACATCGATTGATCTGCTATTTGGTATGCATATGTGAATGCTTTCTTCACTTTCGGTTGGCTCCACATATAATGGATACCATGCTTTTCATAACTCTTCGTGACACCATTAACCAGCGCAATAGCTAAGGAATAAGTTTGAACCGAGGAAAAATCTTCATAATGCGACCATTGCGTGCCAAATTCATCAAACGATATCCTTCGTGCAGGTTGAGTGAAAAAAACCATATAATCTGTAGGATATTTGACTGAGACGTTATAAGTTGTTTTTAATATCGGGTCGTCCCAGCATGGGAATAGTGATCGTGTCCCGTTTCTCGTATATAGATTCGTGAACAACCACCTGTCGCAATTTAAAGAGGTGCCTTTGTTAAGAATAAATTTCCTACCGTTATCATAGTAAATACCATGTAATAGTAACAACGCATGAATGTTATAATTTCTCACTTAACAGTGTAAGAGCAATATAATAACTATTGTACATAATAGTTACATTGTTGAGTGGAAAATGATAAAATTAATGTAACGTTACTTTTATTCGATATTCGCGAGGTATATAACTTAAATACGTGAATTGGCACACGCTGGTAGAATGGCATTGATAAAATACGCTTTATATTAAAAAATGTTTTATAGCGCTTTAGACGCTTTATACACTTCATATAAAGGTCACAATGTATTGTAAAACCCAAACGATTTATACGTGTGTGTAATGAGTTCTCAACTTATTAATAAAACGTTTTGTATTTTTTTTCGTAAAATATTTTTGAAAAAAAACATTTTTATTATGTTCAGATTTTCTGGATCCCGAAACTTTGAGCTCATATATACAGGGTGTCTCAGACTCTCATGACAACAGATATGGAACGTATTAAATAATTCATAGGTACAACAAAACGAAAAAAACTGAAATACTTTAAAAATGTCCTCGTATTTTTTGTCATGGTTGATATTTTGCTTATAAGGATTAAAGATAAAAAGCTAAAGTTGTTGCTTTTTTATAGATATATCTATTACGAATTATACAAATAATGACACGAATTACGTTTATACTTGATGTCTATGATGTCTATATTTTTATATATATTATTTCATATAATTATTATATACACACACACGTATATCCGCTATAAATATTGTATGCTCCATTGCGGAGGATTTGAGTGAATTTCTCAAAGCTTTTATTAAATTTTTATAAAATGCGCAAAATATATTTGAATATATCCTGGAAATTTCTTAGTAATCATATAACAGATTATATGAAAAATCATAATAAAATTTTCTTTAGAATACCAACATATATAGATATTGATCAATAGCTAGAAATAACGTATGTAAATTTATAATCAAAATTGTTCATTATTCACTTACTTATTCGCATCCTCAGTCCAAATGTATGGATAAAATATCTTTTCATTTGTATGTAAGTTAGAGGTGTATTTCATATGTAAAGAATATCGTCCGTCTAGTAGGTTGTCTTCAAAAATCAGATTCAGGATTTCATCGCAATATGTAAAGTTCGCCAATTTATAAGTTTTTATGTTAACTAGTTTACCCATCGTTGAATTAATCCTACTAATTACTGTTTGTTTAATGTTCGGTTTCAATCCACGGGCGTACAGACTCAGTCCGTACAGACCTTTTTCATATTTCTTATTTGGCGGAGTTTGAGAGCGACTGAATTTCTGTAATGGTGAATCGTTAAGGTTAAACATGATATCGACTTCACCTAATATTATTTTCATGAGCGGCTTTATTGTGAGACGAATGTTATATCTCAATGGAGATATTTCAGGTAGGGATAAAGGACCGATTATGTTTGGGCAATCTAGTATATCCCTGCCAGAATTACTCATTGCGACGGCAAACATCAAGACGATGAAAAGTTTAAAATATATCGTCCCCATTTTTGCCCTAAATATCTGCAACAATAATTTATTTATTGCGTGAGAAAATCATTAAATATATATGAAAGATAAGATAATATATATAGATAGATAATAGATAATATATATAGATAAATATATAAAGATAGATAATATATATAAGATAAGATAAGATAACACTATTGTTTTTAATTTTTATTTTTAACAGATTAGAAGAAAGAAATTAAGAAAAACAATCGGGGGACGCGGAGGCAAAAATACCATCAAAGTTGCGATAATATTCCATTAAAAGAGAAACAATACATGTTGGAGATGAGAATTATATATTTACATTACTTCTCTCTCTCTCTCTCTCTCTCTCTCTCTATATATATATATATATATATTCCAGCTGAACAAATAATTATCTTAACATTCTACTAAAATCTCGTAAAATTAGAATTAATCGAACAGCGAAAGGAAACATTTACGATTGTGTATATTTATAAATATTAAATATTAAAAAGAAATATTAAAAAACTTACGTGATATTAAATACGCGGTAATGTACAAAACGCAAAATAAACACGCAACTGCTTGCACAGCTTGTGTGTGATACCGGAATTAAAAAATCTTAATCTCGTCGTCAGTATACGTCATATGCAGTACATTTAACTAAGGCTGTAATAATTCTTCGCGAAAAATATTTATAGTAAATACTAGGATTAGTGATTTTTACTTTATTTCTTAGTATATATAAATACAATTTTGACACAAAGTGTTTTATTCGAAATCACGGCCGCACACGATAACCGTTAAGCAAGTTGTATGTTTACATTCAAGGTCTCTCTCCAAAAGCGGAACAATAATATACTTCACCTTAAATGTTTAAGACTAGAGAATAGAGACTATAGAGAATAGAGAGAGAGAAGACTAAGAATAGATATCTAACAAAAGATTAGGACGAAATTCATGTTGGAAGAACATACAAAATTCGCTATTAAACTTTCTACATATTTCCAGTTGCGTTACGTAAAGAATGCAATTATATGTTTTAAACACAGCGGTGCATTTCACGCGGAACGATGATACTCTCCAATAATGGAAATAACGTTTGTTTTATCTGTTTCTTTTCAGAGTGTGTTAATTTTTTAAAATATTTACAATATGCTAAAATCCGAAAACGATGCTAGAAGCTTTTGATTTTGCGATCTTGTCACGTATGCCGAAAAAATAGATAAATACATCTATAGATGAATATTCATAGATAAATATTTCTAATATAGATAAATATTTCCGCATAAATAAATATTTATAATAACTAATACGTTGGAAAAGTATCGATTGTGATTGTCTTACCTTGTCGACGGAACACACGAAATTAACAACGATAACAGTATTTCATGTTACATTTATACATAATGTCACTGACGACAACACTAAACCGTCATCGTCACATGTGAGAAATGTCCCCTACCAGTAAACACGTACGCACATGAGTGAGATCTACCAAGTGAAATATATATAATTATTGTTCGATGTGCTTTATCTTAGAAAATAAATGTCATTAAACGCAAATGTCATTATTAAACATTATTTAATTAAATGTGAGTTATCTGGATGAAAAAAAAGTGTGAGAGAATATACGCACTTAGCTAATGCAATTACTGGTAGTAATGATTATAACGATTGTGATACTGACAATTTTGAAGCATCAGTATCTGATTAGAAGTGGTTACTAATGTTTAGTTTTTTTAACGATTCGCAGACATAGTTTGCAAAGTATATATCTTACATATTACAGTCAGTGGTATATTTTTTGCTACATTATATTCCAAGGGTACAATAGTTTGTTTAAATAAATTATTAAGTTTTATTAAAAAATATTAATATATATTTCCAATTTTCATTTTCTTTGCTGAATAAAACGCATTTGAGCAATTAAATCTTGACAAACAAATAATTAAATAAAAGAAGATAAGCAGAAAAGCCATTATCTTTCATGAAATATTACTTATATAATTTTCTAAAAATGGTAATGATAAATAATGATCTGTTTTTTCGAAACTCCACAACATCGACGCAATTCCACAAATAATATTAAATAGATCAAGCATTTCCAATTTACTGCTGCGTGGCAAAATGTTTTACGTTACTTTATTGAAACATGATTTACATACAGGTTTAAAAAGCAAGATTGCCAAAGATGACAACATGCTGGCATCTACGATACAAATATTGATCCATGTCAAGTAGAAAATATGATATTGTATTTTTATTAGCAAGCAATTATGTGAATAAGACTTGAATTAGCCCGCAGAAGGACAGAGCGCAATGAAAGCATATATAACGACTCTACTTGTTTGTGGAATAAAGGTCGTTTAACAATTATCTTGAATCTTTCACGCATTTGTCGACTTTTGACAGAACTGTTTTATTCATTCCCATTACAGATACCTACGGATTATTGCAGGACAAAGCTTTAATACCCACACAGCATAAATCTTCAAAAAACGTTCTAAAGACGTTCTAAGGACATTCATACATCCTAAGAACGTCTTAGAACATTCTCTGAAGATTTTGTGCTATCTGGGATAGAAGAAGAGCAATACTTATGATAAAACATTCAAAAACACTGTAAGTAATGCAGTTTAGAATGTCATAAGAATAGGAACAATTAAAGGTTTCTGCACAGAAGAGTTTATTAAATAATAATAACAAAAAAAACAACAATTTGAATACAATATGCATAATAGTTCTTCTGTTACGAAGCACGTATATACCAAGAAAGTCCCTTTTTTACAATAATATTCGTTTATTTTTTAATGTATTTACTCATTCTTTTCAAATAAACAAGTCTTCCTCGTATTTAACGAACGATCACTCATCTATTACATAAATAGTAAAAGGGTGAATCTTATTTTGTATCAAATGTAGGTCTTATCTAAGTGTTTGGTGTTATGAGAAGCCAAGCACATATCACATTTTAGCATTCTTAATAATATTAAAAATTTGTTTGTCATTTCGAGAATACATTCTTAATGATAACTGCAATTACATGACGCTTATTTTGATCATTCCACATGATGTTGATTTGTTCACTGATGCGGGAGATCATAAAGTCGATCTCTTAAAGCATTTTAAACTCGATCATGAAACATTTGAAACTTGCTCAGCACTTTCATTAGATATCTTCTCCAGTTGGTAATCATTGAGTTGAATGATGGGGCTAATTCAATCTTAATCCAAGAGTATTTCTCTGCATATTCTATTATCTGGAATAGTTAATTGAGTACTTAAATCGTTATAACTCTGTCGACATGACTATAACAGGTTACAACACATAAATTTCTTTTTTAATATATAAAACAACTTAATTTACGCAATGTACACGGAGAAGCGTAATATGGTTAAATAGAATTACATTTGTGAGGAATAAATAATTTAAGGAATTTTACACAATAAAATTTACCATGTCAAGATCCCCAAACGAATACACATTTGTAATGATGTCACCTAACAAAATACCAAGAGGGAAATCATGTGAAAACCTGTAAAATTAAAAAAAGATTCGATTTAACAGAAATAAACATTGCTACATAGCATTATAAGGATAAACAACATACGTTTATCACAGAAAAGAATACCTATTCATTATTGCATCAATATTGTTGAGCACGAAAAGTAGCACATCCTTGTTCTTAACATGTTTTCTTATAACATCACGACATAATAATCCCACAGATTGTTTTATTTTCTGGAAATAGTTTGTCCGTATAATCAAAGTTAAGTAATGCTCAATAATCGAGCTATTTTCAGTACATAACAAATACTTTAGGAACACCTCCGTATTAGTTTTATTCATAATTTTATTCAGAAACCTTTTCCATATATCTAAATTTACTAACTTCATCCCATCACAAAGTATCCAATATCTCCAATGTTCCGGAATTCTGCGGAATATGTGAAAAGAAATAAACGCTTGTGTGTATAACGACAATTTAGCATTTGATATTATTTCTTGGTCATATTTAGACAAGAAACGATATCGAATGCTACAGTTTAGCTATATAATTTATCAAATATATTAAGGGAATATGTATACATTACAAGAAGACTTACTCGTCTAGTTCATCATTATCTAAATAAACCAACATACGTTGAAATGCGGCATTTCGACACATCCGATGACCAAATTTACAAGCCCACTTTCGTGCTAAATGTCTCAACGCTTGTCTCATAGCATCATCCCATGGACTCGCTTCGTATCCTAGTTTGGTAATTACTGGACCCAGTAGTTCCAAAAAGTGTTCCTAAGAATCGTACATTATATAACGTTAATATTTTCAAATCATCTTGTTATTTAAATATCGTTTTTGTGTCTGGTTGATGTGCGAAATTTTTTTAGACTTACAAGTCGATTAATTTATGATATCATGTCTTCTCTTAGACAACCGTATACATGTTCTAAGCATCCGTATATATCTGATAAGCATTATCCATGAAATTTTTTTTACTCACCTTCATACGATTGCTCTCAGGGAATTTAAAATATTGTGTCATATATGACAAAATGTTAAACATAGGGTACCACGTTATAAAATCTCTGTCTAACTTTAGATGCTTCGTGATATTGATGAAGATATAAGTGTCCATTATAACAGTAATTCATATTCCACTATTATAACATATTGAAACAATTAAATCTTAACAAACAAGTAATTCAATAAAAGATGATAAGCACATGAGCCATTATTTTTCATAAAATATTAAATATATCTCTATCAAAAAATGACAATAATATGGTATTTTTTTAGAACTCCACGACATCGACGCAATCCCGCATATAATATCAAATAGATTAAGCATTCCCAACCTACTGAAATTTATAGTGCGTAATAAAATATATTTCATTTCTTGAAAGGTAAATTGCACATAGGATTAGAGAGTAAGATTACCAAAGATGACAGCATATTGGTTGCTGCGATACAAATATTAATTTCATGGACATCAAGTGATAAAATGTGACATTATATTTTCATTAACAAGCAATTATGTGAATGAGATTTTAATTACTGCAGCAGAAAAAGTATGTAACGACTCAAGAGAATCCACTTGTCCACACAACGAAATGAAAATCGTTTAACAACTGTATTGAATCTTTCGTGCTGTCACCGACATTTTATGCGACTGTTTTATTACAGTTTACAGATTCGTAAAAAGTATTGCAGAACAAAGGTTTATTAGAATAAAAGCAACTACCATGACAAAACGTTCTAAGACTCTGCAAGTAATACAGCTCAGAATGTTACAAAAACAAAGCCAACGAAGAGCTGCTGCAAAAGAGTTTTTTTTATTAAATAATAATAACAATAAACAACAATTTCAATACAATATACATACATAGCTCTATGGTTACAAAGCACGTATCAGTCTCTTTTTTAATAAATTCTCGTTTATTCATTAATATATCTACTCGTTCTAAGTAAATCTCATTTAACGAAGCTAATGAACGATCACTCATCATTATGAACGATCATTATTTAAATAGAAAAAGGATGAATCTTATTTTATGTCAGATATGGTTTTGTATAAGTGTTTGATGTTATAGGAAGCCAAGTAGTACATATCACATTTTAGTATTTTAATATTAAAAATTTGTTTGTCATTTCGGGACACATTTTTAATAATAATTGCAATTGTATGACGATTATTTTGATCATTCCATATGATGTTGATTTTTTCATTGATCCGGGAGACCGTAATGTCGATGTTTTAAAGTATTTTAAAGTGGATTATGAAACATTTGAAACTTGCTCAACACTTTTCTTAAGTATGCTCTCCGCAGTTTAATCAATAATTTAAACGATGTGGACGCATTACCAACAAGCCAAGTGCATTTACTTGCATGTTCTTCTATCTAGAACAGTTAATTAAGTACTTAATTCGACACAACTCTGACATTATGACAATAGTAGATCACACAACATAAATCCTTTTTAATAAATAAAACAACTTAATTTATGCAATGTACACAGAGAAGTACAATGTGGTTAAATGGATTTATTTGTGAAAAATAAATAATTAAGAAATTTTGCATTATAAAATTTACCATGTTGAGGTCGTCCATAGAATAGATGTTCATAATTATATCACTTAATAAAACGCCAGGAGGGAAATCTTGCTGAAATCTGTAAAATTGCAAAAAATTCAATTTAACTTTAGTAGTCACTGCTACATTTCTCAAGAATAATGTATTTTCGTCACAGAAAGCCCAATACCTGTTTTGTATTATACCAAAATTGTCGATTACAAATTCTAGCACAGGACTTCTCCTAACATGTTTTTTCACAATATTACGACATATTGGTCCCATAGATTGTTTTATTCCCGAGAAATGAGTTGTCCGTATTATCAATTTTAAAAAATACAAGATAATTGTACTATTTTCAGTACATGGCAAATATTCTAGGAGCTCTGTGTAATGCATACTTTTATTCAAAATCATTTCCCATGTATTTAAATCATCTATCTTCACCCCATCGCAAAGTATCCATTCCTTTGACGTTGCTGGAATTCTGCGGAATAAGTAAAAAAATAAATAAATAAATAAACGCTTGTGTTCAACGATAATAGTATTTGATATAATTTCTTAGGCACATTTAAAAAGGAAACAATGTCAAACGCTAGAATTCGGCTCTATAATTTATCAAATGTATTGGAGGAATATGTATGAATTACGAGAAGAATTACTTGTATAGTTCATTCTTATCAGTTGTATAATACATCAAACGGTTGTATGCTGTATTTCGACACACTGCGTGACCAAATTTACAGGCCCACTTTCGTGTAAGATATCTTAACGATTTTCTCATATTATTATCCCATGACCTGTCCTCGTATTCTATTATTCTAATTGTTTCACCCAGGAGTTCCACAAAGTGTTCCTAAAAGACATACGTTATATAATGTTAATATTGTCAAGTCACCTCACTTAAGTAGATATTGTTTTTATGCGGATTGGTACAACGTATGCGAAATTCTTTTAGATTTACAAGTCGATTAATTTGTCATACCACGACTTTTTATTTCTTTTAGACAACCATATACATGTACACATATGTGCTACCAACTGATAAGCATGAAATTTCTTTTCACTCACCTTGATACGATTGCTCTCAGATAATTCAAAGTAAGTTGACATATAAGTCAAAATGTTAAGCATAGGATACCACGCTACAAAATCTGTGTCCTTCTTTAGATGCTTAGTGATATTGACGAAGATATAAGCTGGGAGTTGATTCATTGTTGTGAAATAATACGCATCATTTATGAGTTGGGCGCGGTTAATTGGAGGTATATGTGAGAAATTGTTCTTTTGTAAGTAATTTGATATCAGTAGCCAGTTCCTATTGTCGTAGTTAACACGATAATAACCTGTTGTAAAAGAAATTTTGTTATATTATTTTATTATTATTGTTTATTATTTTATTATTTATTAGTTTATTATACTTTATTAGATTATTTCTTATTATTATTAGCGTTTTACACTTTGATTGCACTTATCGTGAAATGTTTCATAAGGATTCTTTCACTTGTAGCTCAAATATAGTTCAGTTTTGTAAAAAGCTTTAATAGAAATAAACATATTTATATATAATAAATATATATCATATATTTATGAGATTTATGGAACGGTCGAAAATTTCATAATACACAAAACTTAATACAAAACACATTCATGTGCACATAGGTTAAACTAAATTGGAAAAATGTTTTCGGAAAATGTCTTCCATTATTTCTGCAAAGAACAGTTATTAACATGTTCTTTGCAGTGTAGATCACTCTAAAATTCCTGTTCTCTAAAAACCCATTTGATATTTTCACTCGAAAACAAAACGTCATTGTAGAATATTTTTTTAATTTATTTAATAATTTTATAATTTTATACTATATATATATATATATATATATATATATAATATATATATATATATATATATATATATATATATATACCAGGTCAGTAAATATGAAACCGGAATTTGCTCATAGCTGTCAATGTAGTTACCGTCAAACCGCGTCATTGGCGCCATTTCTTTGTTGACATCTCTGACAAAGATTTTCAACTCACAACAATACAAGTTTCATACAACAGCATAGTTTGTAATAGCGTTGAACATG